CTCCACGGGGACGCAATTCTGCGCCCACCACTGCTCGATCTCGGCCTCACTGTATCGGCCCTGGTTCATCGCAACGAGCTGGGCATATGTCAGCACACGTCCGCTCTCTGGATCCTCGTGCAGGAGGAAAAAAGCGTCTACGCTTGTGCCTGCCATCCAAGGAAGGGTCGGTGAAGATGAAGGTGATGATGGGTTTGGGGGGCAAGGAGGTGGCGGCGGCGGAGGGGCAGGGGATGGATACGGGGGAGGGGACGCCAAGTCGTGTCATTCCGCGCTTCGCGCCGCTGAGCGTTCATTAAGTTATTCGGCGTTTCGACACTGGGCGAAAGGGGGGGGGGAGGGGGGGGATCTGGCCCCGGACCTCTGCTTGGCGCGACTGCTTGCAACAGTGCGTCCCATGGGGGAGACTCCACCTGCTCGAAACAGGCGCCACGAACAGCCAAGGGGGAGGGGAGGAGGAGGGGGGGGAGAGGGGGGCGAGGGTCCGCGCCGATCGGCAAAACTCGGGGATGGACAGACCCCCCTTTAGTACAACGTGGTCTAGCGAAAACGACCTCGGGCCCAAACCTGGCGGGCGCAAGCCTGGAAAATGACGGCCGCGGCGCCCTCTGGAGAAACGAGAATGGACAATTCACTAATCGACGTGTCACTGTTGGGGTTCTGTCCACCCCCGACCAGGGGGAGGGGGGGATGAGGGGGAGGAGAGGGGGGCGCGGGTCCGCGCCGATCGGCAAAACAGGGGACAGGACAGCGATCGCCACTGCGCGACCCGCGGCCTGCCTCGCGCCCCTGCGCCGCCCCGCAGCAGGAAAGCGCCGCCCTGCGACCCCGGCAATGAAAAAGCGCGAGGATCGAGGACCTCCGCGCCCCCTGCGGAGTGCCCCCCCCAAAAAAGGCGTCGCCCCCACTCGGGCCGAGGCCGCTCTCCAAACCCCTCCTCCTGGGGTCCACCGCGGGGCTGCGTCTGCATGGCCACGAGGGCGCCCCAGGAGCCCCCCCTCCCTCCCCAGGGCAACAGACCAGTGGAGATCCACTGTGCCCGTTCGGTGCTTGTTGGTGGTGTTCGCGCAACTGCGCCCCAGCAGCAGATCACCCGCCTGAATCGGCCGCCAGGCATCGATGGACGTTAGAGACTCCGTGCCCAGGAGCCGCCGTCACAGAAGTGGCCAGGAAACCCGTGGGCCCAAGAAGAGGAGGGGAGGCAGGAAAAGAAGGTGGAGGATAATGGGGAGGGCCAGGAGAAGGAGGAGGAGGAGGAGGAGGAGGAGGAGGAGGAGGAGGAGGGGGAGGAGGGGGAGGAGGAGGAGGAGGAGGAGGAGGAGGAGGAGGAGGAGGAGGAGGAGGAGGAGGAGGAGGAGGAGGAGGAGGAAGAGTAGGCTGGGGTTGACGAGAGACCCGACCTCCCCTCGTGGTGCGAGTGGGGTGTGCGTTTCCAGCCCCTGGTCCCTGCGTTTCTCCGCGGAGCCCTTTGCCTCCGACGGCTTCTCGGCCTGCTCGGGGCGGCCGAACACCAGGACGAGGCCAGGACCCAACACAACGTCGGACCCCTCCTCCCTCCCTCCCCTCCTCCCTCCTCCTCCCTCCTCCCTCCTCCATCCTCCCTCCTTCCTCCTCCCCCAGCGGAGCCAGTGGCGAGACATCGTCGCTCAGTCGAGCGCGGAGCAGGACGGACTGGAGATCTCTGAGATCTGGCGGCTCTGGCGGACGTCTCCGGCGCTGCGGCCGTCCCAGAGCGCTCCTGAGCGCTCTGAGAGCGTCCTGGGACTCTGTGGAACGATCCGTCCTGGCCCTGGTCCCGCCGGAGAGGGGGGGGGGGGCAGCGGAAGGGGAGGGGGTTGGCGACTCAGGCCATGCGGCTGGCGTTCCTGGCGCCAGGCGCCAGCAGCGGCCGTGCATGGAGGAGGGCGATTGGGCGGCGGGGCGGGGCCAGGACGGGCCGCATGCGCCAGATTTCGAACCCTCCTCCCTTCCCGGTACAGTGGAGGACCGACCACAATATAAACCCAACCCAGACCCCAGGACGTCCATCAATTTTGGGCGTGGGAATGTCGAACTCTCCACAGCAAAACCATCGAAACCCAAGAAACCCACGGCACCCTGGAGGCAAGCAGGGTGCTTCTTGGCATGGGCCTTCACTGTATCCTCCCCTTGCCCGTGAAATGCGAAAGGGAGTCCACGAAAGGGGCTGGCAGCTCCTCCAGGAAACGGACCTCCCTGGCCCTCCCAGGACTCCCAAAGACGTTCAAAAACATTCAAAATCCCTTCGATCTTCGATCCTCCCCATCCCTCGATCCCCCCTCCCCCTGGCGACCCCCCCCAATGGTGACCTCCTCGTGGGTGGGGGGCGGGACATTTGGGGGAAACGGCTACGGGGGAAACGTTGAGCTTGAATCGAGAACACATCGCCGATAGATCGGCGACATGCTCCCGACTGCGAATACCTACGCTTCTGGATGGGGTGGGTTATCAGCCCCCTGTCGGCGACCAATGGGCGATTGAGGGTCGATATAGGCGACCGAGGAGGAGGGGGAGGAGGAGGAGGAGGAGGAGGAGGAGGAGGAGGAGGAGGAGGAGGAGGTGGAGGGGAGGAGGATATGGAGGAAGTGGTGGTGGTGGTGGTGGTGGTGGTGGTGGTGGTGGGCGCCGACTACATGCCGTCCGTGTGACCGAACAGCAGCAGGCTATAGAAGAGACAGCACGGGCATGGCACGATAGGGGAAAACGCCGGGCAATTTTGTCCCAACCCCCTACGAGCACATGCCAGCAAACCGAGCTGGCGGTCAGCCTGGAGAAAATAAATCGCACCCCAATTCAAGACGCAACGAAAATGTCACGAATTTCGGCGCCAAGACAGGGGTGAGACGAGCGTGGGCGGCACATACCCTCAGGATAGGGCCAGCACCACCGCCAAGAACAAGTTAACCGTCTAAGGCTTCACCCGTCGTGGGGTGGAGGCCACGCTCAGCCTTATTCAGCTTCCTGGTTTGCTTATCCCTGGTGGACGGGACCGCGGAAGGGCCACGACACATCTCCTGGAGGGCACGCGGGGCCCTATGGGGCAAGATCAGGAAGCCAAAACATCGCGAACAAATCAAGACACGGCCGAATCGCTTCATGGCGTGCCGGCGGTCGGAAAATTCACGTATCGCTGCCTCGCCATCGCCTGTGGGATTCTCAGGCGGGGAGGGGTCGAGCAAGCCAGCAGACTCAAGCGCCTGCTCGGCCTCCGCCACAACAGCGGCCCTCAAAGGTCGCGCAGATTCACCGGCCACTCGAAGCCACTCGTGGCCTTTCAGCGCACCTCGTCAGTGCGTTCATTCACATAGAACTTGTGACCATGGAGCGAGAGACGAACGATGGGAGAGACCCTCGGAGCCGAAGGGGGAGGAGGAACATCTGTCCATTTCTTAGTGCGGATCATACGGGCGGCAGCCCATGAAATGTAATCAAGAGTTGCCTTATGATACTGGATCTCGCTTTCAATTGCATCCTTAGTTACATTAGCGAGCATAGCACGGCTGGACGCAAGCTTGGCAAAATAATCCGCCCAAGCATTGCCAATCCACGCTACGGGGTCACACCCTCGCTCAAGAGCCTCCTCGATGGTGAGGTGAGCGGGGGTCCAAAGAAACCCAGGAGGCTCAGAGGAGGAGCGACGCTGGGCGACTTGAGCGAAGATGGACCTCCAAACAACTGCATACTTCCTCATCCCTCGGGCCAGCTCGGGGTCTCAGGACAGCCCTTCCTGGACCAGGGACAACAGATCCGACACATAAAGCTCGAGGTTCGGATTCGTCCGAACGGCATGGAGGGCGGCAATCCTTTCCGCTCTTCCAAGTGTCTGCACAGGGCCAGGTAAGGTACCGAACAAAGCACGGGCGGGGCGCAGATTCACGTCAAGCTGGAGGATCGACCAGCCTGCGCGCCGGATCTCAGGAACCGAAGGGCCCTGAGCACTGCCATCTCCAAAGGTCACCGGCCCCGACTCACCCCGAGCATCGCTCCACTCCCAAGTCTCCGCATGCTCAGGCGCCCTGGGAACCTGGATCGAAAGCTTCGGAAAACCATAACTTAAATAAAGGGAGCCCCAATCAGGCTCTGTCGGCAGGCGGCTGGCTCGAAGCGCGTCTCTATGTGAAGCATGGCGATCGCACAGCGCGTGAAATCCTGCCTCGGCCTCGCGCTCATCAGGGTGCAGAAGGGCCTCGCAGTCAAGCCACACGTGGCCAAAGAAGCCATCCGTGGACCCACAGACATTACAGCGTGAAGCAATGTCTTTTCCCCAGGCGCAGAGACGAAGGAGGAGGAGGAGGAGGAGGACAAGAAGGAGGAGGACGGGTCGCCAAAGCCCTTCGGAGAAACCGTCCAATTCAGGGTCGATTCATTTTCATCTCAGACCTCAGACTTCCCGCGGCCGCTCGGGACGATCCAGGCACCCCCAAATAATCACTCTGGGCGATGCGCGGATGCTGGAGAGCATCCCGAGGCTAGAAGATCGCCGAGAAGCGACGACCAGGTCCGAAAACCGGCTCCCCATGGGTCTATCCACCCTCGGCGTTGCCCCTGAGATTGCCCCTGACTGGTGGTGAGCCCCTGACATTGCCCCTGACTGGTGACTAGTGGTGACCCCCGGTGGTAAAAGAGGCCCATGGAGACACAACAAAAATTGGCACAAATGCCAGGATTCTTAACATGTGTCAATGTTTCCCGGATGTTCTGCTTGCCCTGAATTCCCTATATTCCCCAACCTGTTCACGAAGATCCAGGTTTTTTGTGCTTGTGCAGTTGTTCCCTCCTGCGCTGGCACTGCCCGACCTTCTTGGGCGCATCCAGGAGGGAGGCGTCCAAGAGGGGGTCGCACATCATGTCCGGCGGCGTGCGCGCGGCCGACGGGGGGGGACTGGGGGACGTCTTGACATAAAAAAGACGCCATGGTTCACGGCGTCTTTCTTAATGTCCGGATTCATAGACATCTCCGGATTCATAGACATCTCTGGATTCATAGGCATCTCCGGATTCATAAAAAGACGTCCCCTGGGTTCATAAGACATCTCCGCGGATGTCGTTGGCATCCGCAGAGATGTCGTGGTCCTGGCCGTGACAATCACCCCATCCAGGCATCCCCCCCTCCCGGCCGCACCCGACACCCGCTCGGGCGTCGCCCCGCGGGGGCGTTACATGAGGAGGGGAGAAATGTGCGCACTTCGCGCCCCTCTTTCGAGTAGGGGATCGACTACAACATATATTTACCCCAGAATGGATTTTCTCGTCCAATCTACGAGCAACAAATAATATACAATTTGTAGATATACGAAGATGTTCTGTTTTGTTGTATACTCGATGAGAAAAGCAGTTTTGGATAAATCAATGTTGTAGTCGATCGCTCAATCGACTCTTGGGCCACGTAAGGGGATAAAATATGCACCTTACTTCACCCCGTTCCAATTCATCGTCCACCCATGATTCCATGCATCCCAGATGGGGGCCCAGTAGATGTGGTCGAAGGATCGCGCCGCATCACCAATGCATCGCCGATGCATCAGCGATGTCGGCGTGGAGAACCATGGGCTCCACATCGAGCCGCATCGACGATGCATCGGCGATGCGGCGCTATCCTTCGACCCTATCTATAAGACGCAGCCAGGACGATAATACATTCATGTGAGGATAACTCGAGAATCTCTAAGATCCGACGGCTCTGGAGGATGTCTCGGGTGCAGCGGCCTTGTCAGAACGTTACGTGACGCTCTGAGAGCGATCCGGAACGCTCTGGAACAGATCTATCCTCGTCCTAGCCCCGTCCGAATCGACTCGGACCCCATCCAGGAGGCCTAGAACTGCGCAACGCCCGTACTGATCGGGGATCTACTGACCCAGGTCCATGCAACCCCCGTCAGCCGGGCCTTGCAGGATCCTGCAGGATCCTGCACCCAAGCCCGGGTCAGTGCAACTCTGGATCTGCAGGATCCGGCGCTCTGACTGACCCCCCTTTGCGTGCACCCTCGTTTCTTCTGGCTACACGCAAAAGTGGCCATGGGTAAGAGTGACCTTTGGTGCGCGGCGTTTTGGGGGCCGGGGGAGGCCAACCCCAAGCGCGCAAGGCGCGACTACCGCACCGCGTTCGGCGATCGGGGGACCTCAGAGGGCCCGCACCAGAGGTCACTCCAGCAAACGGTCACTCTTACGTGAATGGTCGACTCTTGATCCCCTAACTGCCCGACTCTCGTCCGACCCGGCCTTCGGCCGAGCCGCCTGCTGCTCCACCGGGGCCGCCGCGGGCCGCTCCGCCACCTGACTACCTACCAGACCACCCCACCCTAGCCCGAAGACCCAAGTTCCGGGTTGGGGGGGTTGCAGTCGGGGCTGCTTGGAGAGGACACGCGGGAGGACACAAGACACCAGACCCTTCCGAGGGCCACGTTGCCACAGGAATGTGAGAAGGCATGGGTCGCGAAGCACAGGACACGATCGGGCACCCTTGAATTGGAAAGGTCGGCCTTCTTGTCAGACTCGACTGCAGTTACGGGTTCCGCATCTGTTCTTTCGATGTTATCCGACCCCCCCACTGGAAGTCGAGGGTAAATACAGTGGAGGCCAGTCCACAAAAGTCCTTCCACAAGAAACCCAACCTTGAGACACCAGGACGTCCACTGATTTTTGCTGTGGGAGCGTCACGCTTCCCATCGCAACCCTCGAAACCCTCGAAACCCAGGGCACCCTGGAGGCAAGCAGGGTGCTTCTTGGCATGGGCCTCCACTGTATCCTCCCCTTGCCCGTGAAATGCGAAAGGGAGTCCACGAAGGGGGCTGGCAGCTCCTCCAGGAAACGGATCTCCCTGGCCCTCCCAGGACTCCCAAAGAGGTTCAAACTCATTCCGAGCCTCCTCCATCTTCGATCCTCCCCATCCCTCGATCCCCCCCTCCCCCTGGCGACACCCCCCAAAGGTGACCTCCTCCACCTGGTGACCCCCCCCCTGGCGATCCCCCTGGCGACCCCCCTTCTCGTGGCATGGGCCTTCGGGTTGGGGCCTTCGGGTGGTCTGGTGGGTTGCGGGACGGGAGAATGACCACAACCACTGCTTCTTGTTTGCGCCGCCTTCCAGCCGGCCGAAAAAGAAGCCGTGGTTGTGGTCATGCCCCCCGGTGCCAAGCTCAACGAACATGACCACAACCACTGCTTTGTCTCTGCGGGCTGGAAGGCGGCAACAAAAGAAAAGCAGTGGCTGTGGTCGTTTTCACGCCCCGTGTGGGTGCTGCGGCCACCGGCGCCGCCGCGGGCCCCTCGTTCGAGGGCAGCTCGGCCGCGGGCGCCGCCGCGGGGGCCTCGGCCGTCGGCGGCGCGGCCTCCGCGGGCGACCGGTGGCCGGCCGATGGGGGGCGCCCATGTGCCGGGCGGGCGGCCCGCGCGGGTGGGGAGCTCCTGCCCCGAGTGCCGCCGCCCCCCCCACCAGGAGGAGGAGGAGGAGGAGGAGGAGGAGGAGGAGGAGGAGGAGGAGGAGGAGGAGGAGGAGGAGGAGGAAGGAGGGGGGGAGGGGAGGAGGAGGAGGAGGGGGAGGAGGAGGAGGAGGAGGAGGAGGAGGGTGAGGAGGAGGAGGAGGAGGAGGAGGAGGAGGAGGAGGAGGAGGAGGAGCAGGCCGGCGGCGGCACGCTGTGCCCTGAAAGCTTCTCACTTGCCGCCCTCGCCCGCCGCCGAAGAATGGCGTGTCGTTCCGCGCCGCGGGGCAGAAACGCTGGGACAGGCTCGAGACATGGACGCTCGAGGACTGGGCTATGGACAGCGTGTGGCTCCGAAGCGTATCGGGCCAGAGCCGGCGGAGCGACAAGGCGAAGCCGCAATTCCTGACCCAAAGGGGCCCAGGGGGGCACAAACGGATCGGCACGCACTCCAATATGTTCAATCCTTTCACATATTTCCTGTATTTTCTCCTTCCCCTCAGTTTTCAAGATTCCCCACATCTTTTTTCCCTACCTAGGCTCTGCCTAGAAGGGTTCTTATTACTCTCTTAGCTTAAAGGGGCCGGGCAGTGCTACACGCCCCGGGCGGTTCCCCCGGTCCCCGCCCCGCGGTTCCCCCCAGTCCCCTGGGAGCTTTAGCTTTAGCTTTAGCTTTAGCTTAGCTTTAGCTTAGCTGTAGCTTAGCTTTAGCTTAGCGTTTCGCTTAGCTTTTCGCTTAGCGTTTAGCTTAGCTTTAGCTTAGCTTTAGCTTAGCTTTAGCTCAGCTCTAGCTTAGCTTTAGCTTAGCTTCAGCTTAGCTTTAGCTTAGCTTTAGCTTAGCTGTGGCTTAGCTTTAGCTTAGTTTCAGCTTAGTTTTAGCTTAGCTTTAGCTTAGCGTTACTGTTACTACTAATGCTGCTTTCCTAGGGGTTCCAACTCCTAGATAGGGTCGCACTGGGATAATCTGAGAACCAGCGCTTATTCGTGTTTGTGTCTACTTTTCCCTCCTCAACCAAGGCTGTCCACCAGGACAATAAAGCCAAACACCGAGCGAACCGACAGCGAAACCAAAGCCGATCAACATCGGCAGTGACGCAGCAGCGACACCATGACCGACCGAATCGCACCGAGTGCAGGCTTTTGAGACTGCGGCGAAGCCGAAGCTACCGAAATGCGAAAACACCCTCGGAAGCAGGTCCTGGCGGAAACGGGTCCTAGATCCTCGGGGCTTGCCCCTGGGATTAGGTCGGGCATGTCCTCCTACAGGCGGACTCTGGACGACAAACTTCAACAATAGCCAAACCATAATCAAAGATAGTCAAAAACTGACGGAAAACCGTCTGGGGCTTGATATTCCTCCTGTAGAGGGACACGCCCGACTTGACCCTGAGAGCAGCTCTCCAGCCCGAGTCGTCTACTGGCGTCCCAGGGCCTCGGACAACGTCCCCCACGGGGCGACAGCCCAGGAAAACCTCAGACCAACTTTCGCTTGAGTAGAGGCCTCCTTGATCGGGTCGGAGTCGATGGGGTCAGAGACTCGCGCCGCATCGGCGATGCATCGGCGATGCATCGTCGACGTCGGCGATGCATCGGCGACGTTGACGTGAAGCAAATCGGGCTCCGCATCGAGCCGCATCGCCGGTGCATCGGCGATGTGGAGCGCTCCTCCGACCCCATCTGCCCCGGACCGCATCTGGGAGGCCTAGACAGAGGTGACTCTTCCAGTGCGCGGCCCCAGATGGTCCAGATCCCTCCCCAGGGGGACACTTTTCGTCCCGCATCCGCCCTCGATTTCTTGACTTACACCCTGCGAAATGCTTAAGAAATCATGGGTTAAGAAATTCATAGTCTCAGACTTTGAATAACAACCCAACGTTTCCATTTAAATCTGAAGATTTACATGGAAACGTTAAGAATAATCGAGACTCTGGCCGAAAACTTAGGTTTTCTTAAGCATCGCCTAAGGTGTATTCTGTGCACTGGTGCCGGAAGCCGGTCAGGAGAGCCCCCCTCGAGGGGCAGCGGGTCGATGCGGGCACAGCTACGCGCATGGCGTGCGAACCTTTTGCTTCTGAGGGTGCTCTGCACGCATCTCCCCTTCTTGCCCGCGCGTCCTCGAGGATGCCTGCCTTGACTCGGGAGACTCTTCATGGGGGGGGATCCCATGGGGGGATAGGATCCCAGGGGGGGGGTCCAATGGAGGAGGAGGAGGAGGAGGAGGAGGAGGAGGAGGAGGAGGAGGAGGAGGAGGAGGAGGAGGAGGAGGATCCCCCATGGAGAGTCTCTCGATTGACTTGGCACCCGCCCTCGACAGCCCCAAGGGGCCCGGCGCCCCCGAACGAGCGGGATCCTCCTCCTCCCCTCATCCCCCTCTCCCTCCTCCTCCCCTCCTCCTCCCTGCTCCCCCTCCCCCTCCTCCTCCTTCCCCTCCTCCTCCTCCTCCTCCTCTTCCTCCTCCTCCAGCGCGAGGGCACGTCCGGCAGGCCGCGCCGCAGCGCTGGCTCGCACCGCGGGGCGGGCCGGCGGGCGACAGGCGGGCCAGGCGAGGCCACGAGACGGGCAGGGGA